CCCCCGTGTCCCCCCCGTGTCCCCCCGTGTCCCCCGTGTCCCCCCGTACCTTTCATGGTGGGGGTGCTCCTGGCCACCTTCTTCCTCTGCCGGGGGGACATGGCCAGGCCGGACTGGGGGGACAGCGGGGCTCAGGGGGGGGTCCCCCAGCTTTGGGGGGGTCCCTCCTGTCCCCCCGTGTCCCCCTGGCAGTGTCACCTACCTTCAGCAGGGGGTTGGGCAGCCGGTCCTCATCGATCTCTGGGGTGGGGGGGGCAGGAGGTCAGCAGAGGGTGGGGGGCTCATCCTGCGCCCCCCCTTGTCAATCCAGCCCCATGGGGGGGTCTCTGTCCCCTGGGGATGCCATGGGGACAGTGCCACCACCCCCCCCCCCCTCATTGTCAGGGGGATTTGGGGTCCCACCCGCCCCATGTGTGGGGGTCCTGAGCATCGAGGGGGGGCTGGAATGTGGGGAGGGGGGCTGAGCATCATGTGGGGGGCGCTGAGCATTTTTGGGAGGTCCCTGAGCACGTGGAGGGGCCCCTGAGTCATTTAGGGGGTCCCTGAGTAATTCTGGGGGTCCCTGAGCCCCTTGGGGGGTCCCGAGTGCCCTGGGGTGCCCTGGGTGGGCCGGGGCCGGGGGTGACGCGGGGACACCGCTCGGACCCACCTGGGGACGATTGGTCACTGCTCAGGACAAGGTTGGCCGGAGTTGGCCGACGCCGCCGGATCTGGGGGGACAGAGGAGAGAACTGGGACCCCGAACTGGGACCCCAAACTGGGACCTCGGGACATGGAACTGGAACCCCGAACTGGGACCCCGAACTGGGACCCCAAACTGGGACCCCAAACTGGGACCCCGAACTGGGACCTCGGGACATGGAACTGGGACCCCGAACTGGGACCCCGAACTGGGACCTCGGGACATGGAACTGGGACCCCGAACTGGGACCCCGAACTGGGACCCTGGGACACGGAACTGGGACCCCGAACTGGGACCCTCAGACATGGAACTGGGACCCCGAACTGGGACCCTGAACTGGGACCCCAAACTGGGATCCCGAACTGGGACCCCGAACTGGGACTCTTGGACACGGAACTGGGATCCCAAACTGGGACCCTTGGACACCAAACTGGGACCCCGAACTGGGAATCTTGGACATGGAACTGGGACCCTCAGACACCAAACTGGAAACTTTGGATGCAGAACTGGGACCCTCAGACACAGAACTGGGACCCCAAACTGGAACCCCGAACTGGGACCCTCGGACCCCGAACTGGGACCCCGAACTGGGACCCTCAGCTGTGCCCCAGCCCCGCTGGCCCCGAGCCCGCCGTGTCCCCGAGCTCAGGGTGGTGGTGGCCCTTGGGGACAGCAGTGGCCGGACACGCGTGGCTTTTCCATCTGGAGCTAATTGTACCCGCGTGGGGACAGCGACACCGGGACAGCAACACCGGGACAGC